TAAAAGGACTATTTTGTTTCTTGCTACTGCCAGCATGAGTTGGCAGGTCACTGAACTTGATGGCTCAATAACACCGAACGTGGTGCTATTTTTACCCCCAACTCCAGACAAGATTGCTGTTATGTATAATTACTGTGGCTTTCATTTTGCATGATAACTAATGTAAAGACACCCTAGATACAAGCTCACCACATGGAGACTACATCCATACAGTTTTCTTGGCAGCATTATGAAAATTTATCACTGCCTTCTTCTAGGAAACACTGAAACACTCCAGGTTAGCCAGCAGTCCTAAGAATCTCTAACAGTCCCCCATCCAAGTACTAACCAGGACCATCCCTGCTTAGCTTCCAAAATCAGCCAACACAAACTAGGCACTAGCACTTGCTGAGGCTTGTAGGATAAATAAAAGTACATTAATACCTTTTATTTTTATTTGCTATAATACTAAACTTATCTAAAATGAATATGGGGATAATGTGGGGCATTGGCTGGAAATCAGCGTTCCAAAAATTTGAGTTAGGATACAAGTTTCAAATCTATAACAAACTCTGAGTTCTTTTTCAAAAGTATTTATTCATTTCCAGAATTTGCATTTTAATGCTTTACTATCCTAGTGGTTAGAACAGACTATCCTACTTCTTACACATTAGCCTATGAAAGGCATCTCCACTTACTACAAAAAGAAACAAACAAAAGAAATCATATATTGCATTGCTTACAGTATATTGGTTTTCCGTTTACTACTTTTACAAAATACACCATAAAACAAAAAGTAATTACCGAAGTGCCAGGATGTGACAAATGGCCACAATTGGTGTCAACTGGTATATTGAAAATGCTGCTTCAATTTATTAGACCAAGCCTTATGAAGATCTATATGGCTTTTCTAAGGAATTCCCAAATATTTCAGAAAGTAGTTACTAAACTGCAGCTAAAAAGAGAACCAAATTCCTTGGCTCCCTTATGCAAACTTTCACTCCTGCATTGCTCAGTTGTGTACCAGAACAGTCTAGAGCCAACAATGCAGTGCACAGAGAATTTCACTCCTGGAGCAGATTAAGAGGAACTGTTTGGCAAATGTTATCAATTTAAAAATGATTTGGCTAAAATCTTAAGGACAAATAACATACACTACAATTGTCTATCACTGCCAAGCTGATAAAATACTTAAAAGCCTCACTTTCTTTTACTGTTCTTTGAAAAAAGGTTTCTCAAAACTCATGCAAGAAGGATAGTTTTCCTACTTTTAACTCTTTCACCTAGGAAATCAATAAAATCAAGTAAGTTGAAATAATTCAATGCACCATCTAATGCAGCCTTCCTCAACCTGGTGCTTCCAGATACGATAGCCATGCTGTCTACTGATGGCCAGTACACTTAGTGTGTGTGCGTGTGTGTGTGCTTCGAGTCAGTCTTGACTCCTAGTGACTGCCTGGACAAGTCCCTTCAATTTTCTTGGCAAGATTTCAGAAGTGGTGTGCCATTGTCTGCTTCCTAGAGTGACAGGAAGTGACTGGCCCAAGGTCACCCAGTTGGCTTCATGCCTAAGGGGGGACTAGAATTCATGGTCTCCCAGTTTCTAGCCTGATGCCTTAACCACTACACCAAACTGGCTCTCAGTACACTTAGAGGGCACCAGAATTAGGAATAATCTGTTACATTCCTTATTATGAACAACCATACATTTTTCATCATGTTAACAGCCCTACATAACCCAGAGCAGAACCAGATTTTAACATCATCTAGAACATGTTTGCTTCTACTGAGAATCACAATGGCTTACTGGACTGTTTCAACAAAAACATTTAATTACATTTATTGTTCAACAATTTTGAATCAACTGCTCCTTGTCTAATCTTCAACAGCTATTGTAAATAACTGTTCTTACTCTACTTTCTAAGATTTCCTTTTTAAATTTGTTAACCATAAACAAATCTCCTTTACTTTTAATTCCTTTTGATAAGTACACTCATAACAACAATTTGCTCAACACTCCAACTGATTTAAAAAATGGTAAATGGTACTCAAATTTAAAATGGAAAAATATATTCAAATAGTGAAGCAGAAGAAAAAAACAAAATCTCCTTTCTGTACTTATGTTGCCTTTTTAATGGTCAAAGCAGCTAACAATTAAAATCAGTACAGAATTGAATGTTATGACTTCTCATAACGTATCTTGGTAATAGTTTGGTAGGGATGCTATGAACACTGGATAGAGACCTCTAACCTTCAATTTCAGGACAGATAAAATGACTATTAAATCAATGTACATTGGTAGCCACATTCAACGGCCACATTCAATTCATTCACATTTAATTCACTATTAAATCAAAGTATATTGGTAGCCACATTCCAGTATGAATGGGATGTGGTTTACTACTCTTTCCTTTTTGGGGGACAAACCTATTATTGTCTCTGGACCAAAGCTCACCTCACACCACCCTTTGCACTCTTCCTGTTCTTCATTAATTTTGCTTTTTCACCGATACATTTTTTCTCTTGAGAACCATGAGAGAGATCATCCTTGTCCAGTTACTATATTTCTTTCAAGCCTATGTTTTATTACATTTATTTCTTTCCAGCCCCCTGAACAAATGCAAGATCTCTCTCCTTGCAGGAACACAACCACGTTCTAGGCATCCAAGCAACTAGGCCAATAAACTATATTCAATGGGGAGCAGTGATAACACTAAGGACATCCTAACAGCACTAACAATAGAAGCTGTTGCTATGGTCCCAGGATGGCTCATTTTACTAATTCTCAAACAGGAAGTTTCTAATAGGCTTCCACTGAGACAATAATGCTCAGCCACTTGGTTTTTGTTCTGTCTACTTTCAATTGGTGCATGGGATACCACCAGCTGAAAAATCACTGGACAACTTAGATGCAATGAAAATATATTCATTTTTTCATAGGCAGGATACTAAGGTTAACGTTTTTGCAACTTTAGCTTGATAGTTATCTAGAACCTGAAGTGATCTTTATTATTACATTATTCTTTTAAAATATGATTTCTACTAACTAGTGAAAAAAGATAATTATGTATTTTAAAATTAAAAGCATCTCAGTATATTTCTTGTTAAAACATACATTCCTACTAAAACCCCTCAGATTACAAAACCCGCTCAAGATCCTCCTTCTAAAAGAACAACAACAACAAAAAGATAGGAACCCTTAAAAAGATATGTTATTTTATTTTCTATCACACAATTAAAGTATTCTTTAAGTGGTTTGTGACAAGTACCAATGTAGAGAAAACTGAAAAGTATCTGAAAGATTTGCAGGGAAAGAGAGGAGGCGGAGGGGAAAGAGGAAAGGAGATTGCTTCAAGCACTTAGAATAGTTTATGTTATTTTTTAGAAGAATCCCATACATATCTAATTGGAACTACAACACATTATTAGAAATTTGCCCAACATTCCTGTTAGGGAGGTCAATCTGATCTCAGATTTTAAGTGGGAGTTGAGATCCACTGACATCATTTGCTTAAGGCCACTATATAATTCACCAAGAAAACATAATTATATTTCTCTTAATTATTAAAGAGTTACTAGTCAGAAAGTTCTTTTTAAAAGGAAGTTAATTTTACTGCTCCCTGTACAACATCACAACTTCCTTCACTCAGCCTAAAGCTTGAAACTTGCCAACATTCTTCCTTCCAGGTGTAGTAGTTAAAGCATCAGGCTACAATCCGGGAGACTGGGAGTTCTATTCCCGCCTAGGCACAAAGCCAGCTGGGTGACCTTGGGCCAGTCCCTCTCTCTCAGCCCCAGGAAGGAGGCAATGGCAAATCACTTCTGAAAAACCTTGCCAAGAAAACTGCAGGGACTAGTCCAGCAGTCTCCGAGAATCGGACATGATTGAACAGATTTTTTAAAAATCCCAATGCAGTAAAGTACTGGAATGCACACCGAGACTTCTTAACTAGAAATGAGTGAACATCTGTCTTACCATCCCGTAAATCATTCATGTACTCTGCTGTCCAAGACAAAACTCAACAAAATTCACTGTTCTACACATAACACTAATTCTCATATCCACTTTTAAGCCTTTCTCTTCTAATTTCCACGCCTTCTAGCCAGTCTTTACCCTACCTCAAGGAAATAATCCTGATTCTGGAAAAGTGGATAGAAATACAGAAGGAATGAATACAGAAGGAAGTTGTCCCAGCGTCAAACAGGGTAGGGGGCATTTCTTTGGCATCCTCATTATAATGATTTGTTCCATCTCTGTCCCATGCTGTTTTCATAATCATTATAGCAATACATTCCAAGAGTAGAGGATAGAGAGAAACTTGGCCAGATGTAACTGAGTCAAAAGCTTGGAAACCACCAGAAGAACAGAAAGTGCATTTATAAGCAACTGTTACCTGCAGGCAACAAGTGAAAGATAAACTACCAAAACATCTATTAACATAACTTGTAACAGCTTACTGAATAAGATGGGCGGCCATACAAATAATTTCAATAAATAAAAATAAATAACGCAATACACATATTCAGAGAACATGCATCTTTTGGTAATGCGTCAATTCCCTTTCTGGGCAGCGATGAAGTTGGAGAGAAAGCAAATGAACAAGTCACTCTGTTCTGTTTGCTGTAACATCCAAAATACAGACTACCTACTCATTAGCCAATGTTCTCTTCCTAACACCTACCATGTAGCTAGATATATCAAACCACTTTGGAGTAGCAATACTAATAAATATTTTATCAGATGTCACACAGTTATATGATTTATATCTGACTTGCTCTCAGAATATCCCCATCTTATTGCTATTTTACAGTTGGGAAAATTGAGCCCAACAATTTGTCCCCCATATAACACTCTGCCACTGATTGCCATGCAAGGTGTTAGGGAATTTCCTCTTCAGTGTTTTTTTTTAATACAACTCAGTTTTCATTTACATTAAAACCAAAACCAAACTTTGAAACGATGCAGCTTGGCACAGGTTTATTAAAATGTACTTTTAGAAAATCATAAAGTGATAACTTACCCAAAATGACTGACTAAATCCATGGAAATACAAAGAAGAAAGCAGTTTTTGATCATGATAAGATTAGGAAGCATCCCATTGTCCATTCCCAATGAAACTGTTAACAGAATTGGCTGACTTTGCTGGAGGGTTTGCTTTATCACCTTTGTTCTGGAGCTGCAGCAAATAAGACAGGCAGAAATGCACATACGGTAACTGCTTAATTTAATGCAATTAATGTGTCAGATTTCAAGCAGCACACAAGGAATGTTCAAGACATCTGGATGACCCAAACCAGGGTAAAGTGATGTGAGTTTCATCTTGTATGAAAGATCCATATATTAATCCGATCACCTGAGCTGCTTGAATCCCAAGTACAATGGGATCTTTTGGGCTACAGCTTGTTACCATAGCTAAATTAACAATATAAAAGTTATTTCTCTCTCACTCATCAATCAGGTAAATAAGAAACACACCCTTTTCTGATTGGAACTTCTATTTCTACAGAACTGCTGTTTAATATATCCCATGCCTGTTTGTGTGTGGATGTTGTGTGTGTGCGCACACTATACAGAAAATCATTCCTTTGTCTTACTTGTTTTCTCAATTTTAGGAAGGTAAACGCATCTGCCCTGAAATTCAGCATGCCAACAGACAGAGCTGTCTTAAATAAAACAAAGGCAGTACTGTATTTGGTTTAGCAACATATTTCATGGGAGGAGCAGCGGGGAAGGGAGAAAAGGACAATACCTGTTCCTAAAATTGACAGGCATTGCTTGTGTACTTGTTTGATCCAAAAGGGGGAGGCTAATTGTGACTGTGTTGGAGGGAACATCTTAATCCCTGCCGGATTGTGACAGCTTGCTGGCGATAATGTGCACTCAATGCCACGCACTGCCGTGGATGAAGATGAGGCTGTGTGTGTGTGTGTGCACGCATGTTATTTTTAAAGTGATGTGGCAGCCATCAATCTCTGGAAATAGCCAGGTGACAACAGAGATTGATGGAAGGATTCGGCCTCGCTTAAAATTAAAAGAAACCCCATTTCCGAGCAGGTTTACTTATCAGCGACGTTGCCTCCCTTAGGAACGATCTCCAGGTCCCTCCCGCCTTCACACGCTGGAACCGTGGAGAGGCGCCTTCATACACACACCCACACATACACACCCGCGCTCTGCTCCCCGGGCACCCCCTTCCCCCCTCCCTTGGCCAGAGGAAGAGGGCTCTGCAGAGCCGCAGCAGCCGGCTACCTTCCTAGCCGCTCCCCGCGTCCTAAAATTCACTCACCAGCCGAGTGCCGGAGCCCGGGCTGATCCCTCCTCGGGTTCCGCTCTCGAGATCCCCCCAGGCAGGCACGCGCCTCCCGGTCCGACCAGAAACGGGCTGGGCCCGCGGCCAGGTCCAGTCGCACAGCCCCGGGTCGCGGCTTTTGGGGATCCTCCCGGTGCACCTGCTGCTGCTGCCGCTGCACCCGGCGCTGCAATGAAGCCGCTCGGACGCCTCGCTCTTCCCGCCCGCCAACCTCCCTCGGCCCCCGCAGGCGCTCACAACTCCTACAAACTCCTGCGGAAGTGCAACTCGCGGAGGGTCGCCGACCCCTCGAGAACGGGCCCGGCTGCTCCCTCCTGGAAGGCGAAGGGAGGAGAGGCTCTCCTCACTCGCCCCGTCCAAACTCCCCCTGCCCTTCCTCACCATCCAGGGCGCCCGGCGACCCCCAGCTGGTGGAGGGAGTGGCCACTATGAAACCAAAACGGCCCTCGGAGGAACCGAATTTGCC